TTCTAGCACACATAGCCAAGGGCAGCAGTCACAGCAATGTTGATAGACCAACTTTCAGCTCACTGAGAATATTAATGCTCAATTATGCATACACACATATATAGAGATCATTAGGTTCACATACGTAGAACTACATAGACATTTATATACACACGTGGGTGTGTCTACATAAATATTTATTTATCAGTACTGATCAGTACTTAATGATCCCCATCTGTAAACGAATGTCTGCATACATATACACATAATTAGTCTACTAAAATGATGCAGGGATGTGAAGCAAAAAGGTTGTTTCTCTTAATATAGATTTGGAGAGATGCTTATCACAGGAGATGAAGTGGCAGGGATAATAATTATGAGTCAGATCTGGAACAACATGAAGACCTCTCTGGACTCATGAAAACATCTTGTCTCTGATTTGAATAGTACAAACTAGTTTGGGTACATCACAATTGACTAGAAAAGGAATACAGTGTGATTCCTTTTCCCTGGTGGACAACCTCAGAGAAGTAACACACTGTGCCTGTGGCTCGTCAACCCAGAAATATTAGATCTGACCCATCAGAACATGACATCATTAAAAGATACACTAGTTAACAGTGAGGGGTACAGCACTGGACTTAGAAACCCGTAGATTTCAAAGAGGCTACTGCATTCTAGGCATTCATCTGAGAACCCATCAGATGGGTGGGAATGTCTAATCCACCACCCTCGGGCATTTGAGTTATTTTCCTAGAGGACACTGTGTGCTCTACAGCTGCTTTGCCCACACCTGCACCAAGCACCTGTACCAAATGTGTTTTGGTACAAATCTCTACACTAAAGGAGCTGAACTGATCCTCTTGTCAGATGGGAGTGGTGTCAAAGCTACAACAGAAGGAACTGCAGAAGATGATCAGCCAGGACTGGAGGGAGGACAGTGGATTTACTTTGGTTAGGCACCAGGTCAAGGCAGACCAGCTCACACAGTCTCTTGATACTTCCCTGCACATCACAAAACCACATTCTTAACAGATCCCACCCAGCTCGTAAGGAAATAATTAATTCTTGCAGCATTTAGCCATATAAAATTACAAAATCATAGAATAACTTAGGTTGAAACAGACCTCTGCAAGGCATCCTGTCCAACGCCCCACTAAAATCAGCTCCCAATTCAGAGTATTCTGAGATATTCAGAATCATATAAAGCCTCTTTATGCAAATTACCAATGTTACCATACTGACAAGTTTTTTAGGACTGTTTAGGACAAGCATACATAGCATAAAGCACAGAGGATTCAAAAAGCCTAGGACACTCATACAATAAAGAAAGATATGGGAAAAGCTCACTTAATAGCTATGAAGTGGTACAAAATTGTGTGCTAAAAGAGTTGCTGCTTTCTACAGCCCAGAGAGCCTCTCACAGCATGTGGCACAAAATGAGGGTTGGGAAATTCACTCTACTGATATATTGATTTTAATAAAATAGTATTATGAAAATATTGTTAATAATGCAATATTTTAATAATAGTTGGAGTATAATGACTATGTAATACACATTCCCCTCAGAATATTATTTTTTAAAATAGAACACATACCACTTTGATGCAAATCTATGGAAGAAATATTTTCTAACAGGAGTCAGCTGGGACCACTAGATGAAGTATTCTGCATTTTCCAGGATGAGAGACAACCTTTTAAAAGCCACTAACCTACTCAGTTTGGCAGTACACAAATATGACCACAGCCTTTGTCTCTCTGCCTCAGAGCTGCTTCAAGTCTAAGAGCTCCCATGATCAGTTTGAGATGCAAATCCCAAACTGCTGTGCTCCTCTCATCAGCCTCTTGAAATCTTTGGGATTTCTACCCACAAACACAAATTCCATGCACCTCCAAACATGTGTAATCTTGGTTCAGAGGGTGGCAAGTAGCAATAGAAAGGCATTAATTTCTTCTCAGCCAAAGCTTACACAAGCTCAGCATCACCCTACGCTGCCCTTATAGATGACTTCACTAAAATTCTCATTGGAAGAAACACTTAAGTGTTCTGTTTAGGAATGTTTGCATACAGCTTTATAAATGGGCTCTTTCCTCCTCTGTCCTGTGGACAGAAATTTCTCTAAACATTCATTGCAAGTGTCATGTGAAATTTCTTTGTATGGCTTTTACAGACTATTAAGAATGGTTTTAAAAACTGCTAATGATGACAGTAATAATAAAGACAATAACAATAACAATAGCAAAGGCAATAATAATGGTAATATGCCTGCCAAGATTTCAAAAGAAAAAGTTCTCAACAAACCTAATACACAATATTCAGGAAGATAACTCCCTACATTCTCCGCCAGAAGACTACAGAGATATAAATAACAATAACCTTAGATTTATAATGCGTTTTTCATCTCAAAAGAAAACTGCATTGATTTATAACGTAAATGGCCTAAATCCACAGCTAGTTGCAACTGATTAGCTCCATTGATTTCAGTGAAGGTGCTGACGTGCAGATTTATGTGAGTTCAGATCTATCTCTCTGCACGTGTGTGTGCATGTGTCTGCATGTGTGCATGTGTGTGCAGCTGGAACATGACATATATTGCATGAAGAATTTCATATTAAACAACACAGAAAGTTACACATTATCATTGCATTTGCAGAAAAAATCCACAGAGTGAAGAGAATTGCAGGTTCTAATCTTTAGCTGAGAATTGGCATATATATTTTCCCAACAGGATGCTCACAGCAGTCTTCTGGAAAGGCTCACAGGTGCATCATATGCTGTTGAGTTTTGCTCTTTGCAAAAACAGGGCAATGTTTGCAGATAGCAAGGCAAGAGATGCACAGATATATTCTACAAAACAAGGACCTTGCTTTTTTGAAAATTAAAAAAAAAAAAAAAAAAGAAAAGAAAAGAAAAAAAGAAAAAAGCCAAAGCCAAGGCATTGTTTTGGAATAAAGGAAAAGCAAGCAATGCTACCAGAACTGACACCACCTCTACCCTGATAAAATCTTAGCAGCTGTCTGTGACAGACACAGAGGCTGCCTTGTTTTGCTCCAGCACTGTTTGGGGATAAAGCACAGGAGTGCTGCTGTGTAAAGCATAACCACCAGCAATCCATATTGAACTGGTCATGAAAAGCTGCACCACTACCAGATTTCAGGTCAGGAGTGAGAGAGGAGATGGGGCAGGCAAAGAGTTTCTGTGAATACAGACCAAAACCTTGTAATAAATACCCTACAGTACAATCATGGCAGAGCCTTTCCCTCAGCTTTGGAAAACTGTCCTGGTATTATTCATCAGCTCCATGGGCACTTCCTTTAAAGGGCTAGCAGAAGAGGAAAACCACTGCAAAGGACATGGTACAGCATGATCTTTCAGTTAGCAAGTACTCAGCCTGTCCTTCCTAAGACAGTTTATCACAGGAGATATGGATGTGCTATACAGGAGTCGGATAGATGGCACAGAAGCCAGTTCAAATGATCATTTGTTAGAAGAGTAAAATATAATTTTCCCCCGGCTCCTTTTTTGCAGCTGAGCTCTACTTCAAGTATAGACATATGGTCACTTCTGTTTGTGTAAAGCTGACATAGAGCTGGGTTCTGAAAGGCATAGCAACACAAATCATGCAACACAGTTGGAATACATCCAAATCAGTAGCAGAAATGTCAAAGACACACAACTATTACCCTGTCCAAACTTCCTCAGAAACTGATGACACTCAGTTTTTCACTACCTGTGACACCAGCAGTGAACTCCACCTACGCATTTATGCAATGTAAGTATGCAGATGGACTGAAGCCTAGAAGAAAATAAACTTAACCTGAATCTCTTTTCTCTTGCAAGCAGTTAAAATGTGCAGGAACTTCAAGTGCAGAAAAGCAGGAAAAGCAGATTCACTGCAAGATGAAATTTATAATCAATCTTCTGCCCTGAATTGGAGTAGTACAATAGTGTCTGATGTGATTAACCAAAGGCATTTCATGCCACTGTAGGTATGCTTCACAGGCATAAGGCATCTTAGCCACCTTGCTTTCTGATGTTTTTCAGAAAGCTGTTTCAGCCAGTTCAAAGACACACAGGTAAGAAGGCATTTCTGAAACCAATGAAGGCAGTGCATCATGTCCTTGCTTTGTTCAGAATCCCAGAGCACAGTGCTCTGATCTGCTTTGTGCAAGAGGTCAGATGACTACTTAAAAATGCCTTTGAACTTAAAAACGTCTCTTTCCTGCTTGTTAAACTCAAATCCTGGCCTGTTCTTGGGCCAATATCACTCCACTGATTACACCAGCCTTACCCAGTGCTTCAGCACTCCTGGGAGGAGGAAGGTCTCAGCACCATCAGTGCCAGCCCAGGCTCTTCCTTCCATGGGATGGGTAAACATAGCATAACCCAGAACAGGAAGGTTATTCTGAGCTCAGCTCTGCATATGCACAATAAGCACACTTTTAGCTTGAGCTAAAACTGGATGTACAGCCCACAATGCAAGCAACAAAGTTGGGGCATATTCATACCCACCAGCAATCGCAAAAGATGGTCATGTTGCACAACTGGAGCAAGCACAGAGCTGGCATGATACATCACACAGATCTCTGTCTTCTGAAGAGCCCTGCAGTCACTGGGCCATCAGATCCAAGGAATGCAATCTCAGCAGTAATTATGGGAAAGGACCTCTGGTTGTCACTAGATGCAACCTAACCGAGGCTACACCACTGTCCAGAAAAACAGATCTATCTCCTGCTCTGTGTGAACTCCCAGGCTACAGCTTGGGACCATCTCTCCTTGCTATAGCCCCTATCACTGCTGGAAAGAGCTTGGCTCCATTATCTATTTGCCACGTGATGCAAGAACGTCAGCCAGGCCTGTGGCCACCAGCAAAACCCACAAAACAGTGCCATGCCTTCATGAAACACTGCATGGGTAGCTACACAACGCTGCACTGCACATCATGAGGTTACCATGCACTTGGGGATCTCCATGCACACCTTCTGCCATCACAATTTTAAATAAGAGCTGCTATACTTACGTCATTATCTGGGTCTCTATGCCAGGGTCTACAAGGGATCCATCCACAAAAAGTGGGGTTGATGTGAAACTGTATTTAGTCCAGGATCTTCCCTCATCAAAACTCACCCTGGGATAGAAGCAGACAACATTTATACACATAAAAATCTTACTCTAGAGGAACTGCAGCAATTAAATATTGGCTAAGGTCTGCCAGTACCAGCAGCTGGATTTACAGACAAGCACCAATCTTTGCCATTTCCCAGCCCACTAAATTCATGCTCTTGATGTTCTTTGAAAGATCAAAGCTTTAGAAAGCATAAACACTGGCAATAAGGACATGGATATACTTTATGCAGCTGTACATCAGACCTCAAGGGATCGAGAGGCATTGCCAAGTCCTATTTCTGGGTCTGGAATAACACCTGGCATGAAACTTCATTTAGAGTGTAAGCAACCCTGGCTTGAATGCATGAAAATTGCTTTCGCCACCACAGGACATTTTGACCCATCCATGTATCAATGCCATATGGCATTAGCTACAATCTCTCCAGTCCTATGAGTGCTTAAAGGCAAATTTGGCTTATTTGTGGGAGTGAGGAGTGTTGAATGTGCACACTGAGCACCTGGATCTGTCTGGGATGCTCTTGGTGGACATTGAATCCCTCCTGCTCCAAGGAGGCAGGACACAATCTGACACACCACCAAAGGACCAGGAGGCCACTGTAGTGTGTCTTATAAACCATGGGTTACAGCAGCCTCAGATCTCTGGTGTGGAAAGCCAAGACTGGCAGTGACCATTCCCTAACTCTCTGCCCCTCATGCCACCTGTGTCACAATGCACCTGTGCAGGAATATCAAGTTAACTTTACACCTAAGACAGAACTCTGGGAGCACAACAGCACACAGAAAGATTATCTGCCCTAAATCTATTTATTTAAATGTATGTATCTTCCCATACACCTGTGCATTTGTATGCGTTCTGCTTGCATGCTTATCTCTCCAAATAGCTGTTCAACTTCTGGAGAACAGCATGCTTCATTAGCTTAGCTAAAGTTCTCTCAGCTTTTCAATTATCCGCCCCTCTTTTCTCCAGCATGAAACTTATTGTACAATGTCTCAGCTGAGAACTAATAGATTTACATGTACCCTTTAATCTATTCCACTCCTGCCCATAAAACAGGTGCCTACTGAAGCAATATGAAGCAAATTCCAAAGCCCCTACGGGTACAATTTTGAAGGAAACCTGTTGGAGCTTATTGATAACAGATCTAAATCACTACTCATTTAATAGAGTGGGTGGGGCACTCATAGAACTGCACACACCATTTCAGGAGACTTATTGTAAAAGGAGAGCATCTGAAATGAACCTCTGCAAACAAAGGTGAACTGAGCTGTTGGCTCCTATGAAAAGTCAACCTGGGACCAAATCTTTCCCAATATGTCAGTACAGGCACTTGTAGTAACTTTTTATGCCCAAAGAGCCTTCACAACTAAAGACACAATTAAAACAGCTACACCTCGCTGGAACAATACAGTAACAAATGGTAAATATGTGACTTGCGGCTCTTTCCGTAAGGGGCTCACCTTTCACTCTTCCAGAGCTCAACTTGCTGCAGTCTGATGCACCCACTCCTAGTGATACCCACCCTTGGCTAACACACACTTCTCCTTCCTTGACTCATCCTTGGTTTGACTGGGACATGGTCCTGATGTTATCGTTCCTGAGAGCACTTTAATTAATAGCCATGACAACTGAGTTGCCCATCAAAGGCTTCCAGTCACACCCCAACACATTCACACCACAGATTGGAGGCTGCAGCTCCTCATTAGGAGTCTGCCCTGTTTCTGCTCCCCTCTGTATGTCCACTTATGGAGCCAATGGTGGTTAACAGTCCACTATCACACCATGACTAAAGCAGTCATTTCTTCACTTCAGGCACAAAAGAAATGTGCTCAAATGCAATATATTCGAACTTTTATAGAAATCTATGTTGCAGTCATCCCAGAGTTATCTGTCAGGTCAGAAACAAAGTCCAGAAGCTTTTTATATTGAAAAAGTAGCTGTTAATGTTCTCAAAGTACGTCTCTGGAACATGAGCTTGTAAATGGGTGAAGTCAACCTGTCTTGAGGTGTCCAGATTTGGAATGACTGCAGTTTCACTGAAGGATTTTGTACAATAATGGCTCAGGTAGAGGAGACCTTAACACCTCATCACTGCTGCCAAACACCATTGCTTTCTTTTTCTATTTGACTGAAGACCACATTTCCTGTTCTCCATGCAAAATAACAGACATGTGCTTAGCACCATCAAGCTGAGAGACAACCCAGTATTGTAGACAGGAACACATCTTGTCTCTGAAAGCTATTTCTAACTAATTCATTTCTAAACAACATTAGAAACTGAGTAGGTCAGTCCAATAAATATGCCCCTCCTTCAATCAAGCCCCGAGATTGAAGGTGGTGCTAACACACCCATTTTCTGTAAAATGTGTTAGTTCTGAATTTGAGAATGCTTAACTGGTGCAGGAATCACAGGGGCAAGAGCTAAGAGGAGGATAATTTTGAGCACTGTTTAGTGCTTAGACTGTTATAAACCATTTATAGCAAAACAGTGTCTCCAGCTGAGAAATCATTTTGCCCTATTTCACCTCCAACTCTAATCAGTTGCCACCACAATATCTCTGGAAATTGATAGTCAAATACTAGAGGGGTTAGCAACATATATCTGTTGTCCTTATCTACACCTACTGCCCTTTCCTCTCCCTCCCTTTATCTGTCTTACCATATTAATGTTAAATTCTGTAAAAAAAAAGTAGAAATGAGAGGCATCCTCTTGGAAATACCTGAAGCCTACAGCATGACTTAGTGTATGTGTGTCTGTAGGAAAGAAACCCCACCTAGAGGCTCACAGTACATTACCAGGGCAAAGAGTAATTCATACATGTAGGTGACTATGTATGGAGCCATTATATTTATAAAATAGTGCAATAATCATTATATTCATCAATAAAACCAAAATGGTGGTAGGACATAGATCAGAGTGACTTCATCTGCTCCTTTTACAGACACTGGCACCCTCTCAAAGTGACAAGTTTCCTTACCACATGTGTCGGATGGGCACTGATGTGTGTTTCATGGCCACTAGTGCCCCTCCCCAGTCCAGAAACCAAACGTTGTATTCCTCCTCGAAGATCTGCAAACAGATGAAGCACTGCATGAGTGTTCCACTCCATTGGGAAGTGAAGAGTCAGAAAGAGAATAGCAATAGGTTCCATGCTTTCCTTTGCTGTGCAGAACATACCTGTCTCCAGGAATTGCCACCATCAGAAGAGATGAACACGCCAACATCCGTGTAGGAAAGTTCAGAGCCAATATTGCCTGCAACACAAGTGTCAGACACTCTTCTATGGACGAACACACTAATGAAAATGTCAATTAAATTTCTGACATTTACTGCTGGAAAATTAGAAATTTAAATAGGTTGTTACCATCTCCTGTTAGCATCACTAACCATTCAACTAATCACATTATTGTGTCAATGCTACTTCAAAAAAGTTCTGGCTCTGGGAGGCAGCACTACTTGAGAAGGATGTTTTCATCAGTGCTCAGGATACAGGAAATGTCATATTGTCCATCTGCCTAATTTTCTTCCCTGACACCAGCAAGAGTGACCAACTGTTTTAGATGAGGCTGTAAGAAAAACCTGATGTGGGTAACCATACAGAAGGTCAGTCTATAGGGGCATCCAGGTTCAAGAGGATAAACCTACTGTTTCAGTTCAAAGGTCTCCTTAGCCCAGTATCTTATAATGAGTGGAAGTCCTCAAGAATTAGACACTGATCTAAAGGTAGAGGTGTAAGTTTTGTGTCACCATATTTTAAACATCAAAATGGAAACTCCAAATTTTCAAACAGGGACTTACAGATGGAGGCAAGGAAAGCAAGAATTTGGCAAAGAAAAGGCAATAATTTGGTTGTTATCACTGTTCTGTCTTTCTGTGCAAAGCTGTTCCATTATTTCCTTCATTCTCTCCCTCTAGTTTCAGCTGCATGTATTCAAACCTCACAAAATGTAACTGCCAAACAAGCCAAGAGGATTTAGCAGCTGTATAATTAGATAATAAAACATAATTCTTCCATTTGCAGGAATCTAACCTCTGTCCTATACAAAGTGTAAGTTTCCAATCATTGCTGGAAATGTCTTACTGTAAATGAAGTGTTTGAGCAGCCAACACTTGGGAGAAAAAATTGCAAAGCTTATCCTTGAATGCATTCAGCAACATGGTGAGATGCTCCTGCTGTTGTGAAACTGGTTAGTGGAAACAGATGTGCATATTCCCAACAGGTAAGGTTTTTTCATCTACAAAGCAGTAAGGCAGAAATTATATTCTGCCTTTTAAAGGTTAATTGTTAGACTGGGAAAGCATTCATCCCATGCACTGGCAGCTTGAAAAGAACCTAATTTACTAACAATTTACATCAATGCCTAGAATCTCACTGTCCTGCTGCCTCTATTTGCTTCCTAAAAAGTTAAAAAAAAAGCTTTTGTAATTACAGCATCATGAGTAGGGCTTGTTCCTAAGCATCCATCTAGCAAGTGCAACCTGCCAGGAGTGATGACTCCACTTGGCTGTGCTTGGGGATATCTGGAGGTTTAAACCAAATTATCTCACTTCATTTGGCCTGGATCAGTGAACTGGAAATCACACGGTGTCTCCCTTGTTGAGATATAAATGTCATGAAGGGAGCCCGTCTCAGGTTCTGCCTTAGTCTGGCAAACACACTGAAGCACAGAAGGACATGAGAATGAAAATGGCTGGAAGAAATAGTGTAAATTCATGCAGACAGTATGCTAACATCCCACACTTGCAGGCCACTGCTATGCTGAACAAGACCAAGGAGATAAACTGAGCCTTAGAAAGAACAATTAAGCTATTTGGACATATTTGAGTGTGTGTAAGAGCCTCCATTTGAAAAGACAGAACTGCCTCCATGGCTCAGAGGCCAGCTTCCAATAGCACCAGCCATTTAGAAAGCACTTTGTTAGCCCAGCAGTTCCCACAGAGCTGAGGGTGGTTGGTAGCCCCATCCATCCTGCAGATTAATTACAGTGGCTCAGCCACTGCCACCATGAAGTATTGTAGCAGGCTGTCATTTAAACAACACAACCTGCCAAAGCACTGTTTTGCAGAACAGCCCACAATACCAATGGCCCATGCAGTGATGATTAAATGCTGCTACTCTTGCAGCAGTACAGAGTTAAAAGCAGGTGCCATGCACAAGACAGGCACCCATGAAAGCCCAGGCTTCACCTGACAGACTTTTGTGACAACTCTGTGCTTGCTGCTCAAAAGGTGGGACATGTTGACACCTTCTAGGAGTGTAGCCCCTGGGTACTATTCTCCTTCATGGCACCTGCAGCAAACAGGTAGACATGTCCATCAGTGGTTGTAACAACATGAGAGGACCTAGTAATGCCACTGGGTAATGGTACCTTGAAAGTGTGGGCTTAGATGGGTTATTGTAGAATACCTGACACCTTTTCTGAACTTGGGGCCATATGCCTTCTCCTAGCCCATAGCAAATGGGAGTTAACATGAATTAGCCCAGCACTTGCTGAAACAGAGCTGAAAGGTTTTACACCAATGGGGAATACCTCATATACTCTCAGGCTCCCAGGGAGGTATGGGTGAATGCTGAGAAGCACTAATGCTCTTACCTGTTGCCACCAGCAGCCCAGGAGCTGTCTCTTTGCTGGAAATGCTCCCTGAAGTATATGGATTCTCTGAGAGCTGCAGGCGCAAGTGCAGTGAGCAAAAGGGCTGTTGACAGAAAACAAACAAAAGGCAGAACCTTTAATATTCAGAAAGTTAAATATCAGAGGAACCCTTGGTGACTGCACACAGATGCTCTGATCCTTCTGAAAATGACCCCTCTGCTCTTAGCACACATGTCATATGTTCCTTTGGTGGATAAGCACGAACTCTGCACTACAAAACAAGCGTGTCTGCCCTTGTTTTAACAACAATCTGACCTAGATTACTTTTCCCCAGCAACTTTCTTATTCTGACTTGAATTCTATTAAGTACATCAAGAAAGATGGTCAGAATTTTCCCTTAAAACCTACTATGGATTTTTAAAAGAAATTTACTGAATTCATTTAACACCCAGAAGGTCAAGACAAAAAAAACACAGGGAGAGTTTTGTTAACCTAGCGACTACAATAAGCAGCTCTGAAGGAGTCAATTGTGCCTTGGAAAAGATCTGCCACTCACCAGCTGGCAAAGTACAGGATCCCCTCTTAGATCAGCGTCTGGTGCCTGTAGCAAACGCCAGTCCCTGCCCTTGTTGTAGGTAATGAAAGTCTTGATCTGGTCATCGACCTTCCTGTTAGCCAGGAATATGCCTTTGATCCCTGCTACCTAGGAAAAAGGGAGAGAGGTGAAAAAAATACATTGGAAGAACAGGCCAAAAGCAATGTCCCTCTGAGCACTCTCAGGAGTGGAAGGTCTCTGTAAAAGCAGTGAAGGCATCTCAATCAAATCTCAGAACATCAAATGGCACTAAAAGTGTATCTTGATGGTGGCTGCAAAGCTGTGTGGTTTCTCTCTTTGGAAGAAAAAGACAAGGATGGTCACAGAGCAAATCCCTAGTAAACAGCCCACTTTTGGATTTCATTGAGCTCTGTCAGATTAGGCTGATGATGGGCCTGAAGGTGCAGCTTGTACCAAGTCACACTTGAGCTGTGTGAGCTTGAGAATGGGGTCTGCCTCACTGCCTCCACAGACAGTCAAAAAAGGGGAGACACAAGATCACAACAGAAACAGTGTGGGATCCTTTTGTGTACCAGAAAAAAAAATCAACACAAAAGATGGGAATCCTGAACATGCTGTGGCACTACTGTTTTGCAAACTTGGTTTCTTCACTTTTCTTCCATACCCAAATTCTGACAAATCAAGCCAGTTGTTTCAAATGTTTTGATTTTTGTCAGCAGAACCCATTCCAGCAGAATATGGTCCTGTCAAAACATCCCCAACAAGATTTCATGTTGAGTCTGGTCTCTGTTGCACAGCTGTGAAAGTGAGACAGGAAGAAGAAATTTGCTGCAAATCTGCAACTTCCTGGCAACTGTCAGGATGCAAATCCTTCTACTCTGAAGCCCCTGGAGTGATACTACTCTTTAAATGACTCTGTAAAAATCTATTAGCATTTAACAGTTAAAAGTCTATATACCACTGGGGAGTACACAGGTTTACCCAGGAAAGTGAGACAATGCATATTAATTTTAGCTGTTTCATCACAGCAAAGAAATACACTTTTTCAGAGGCAGGACAATATATTTAACCAGGTGAAAAATACCTTTAAACCCTGTCCTTTATACTAATCAATGTGTTATTTGTGAATTTTCCCTCATTGACTTCAACTACCTGGATTTTTATAAATAAATCGATTATGTTGTTAAATAAGCATTATTCCGACTGAAATAAAAAATGTACAGCCTAGCTTCTACATGAAGCTGCAAGAACATTTCTCTGTGTAACAGTAGAAATCAGCCTGCAGTCATTTCTATTAGTATTACTGATTAGTTGTTTGATGCTGGCAAAGCACTGAGCCCTGGATCTCAGCATCTTCCATCCAAGAAGTAATAACACACCAAAACCAGAATGCCCTGAAGAAACCAGGAACTGCTCTGAATGCACTGCTGCTGGCCAAGGCTGACAGGCCTGGAAGAAGCATGGGAATGGAAGATAGTTTGGGGTAGAAGTTATCCATTTGTCATCTCTGGGCAAGTGGTACCTACAAATTTTTGGTTATGGTTCATAAACTGTTCAGTGCTCGTGAAGTTGCAGTCCAATGAGCAACTGTCTCTAGATGCTCAAGGGGGAAAAAAAAGCTATGTTTAGTCTTTCTATGGATATCCACATTAGGATGAGAAGGATAATGTTTTTTTGGAAGAGAAGGACAACAGCTTTTGGAAATGACACATACCTAACCTGTCACTGACTTGAACCCAACCAGTTGTCACACCTATAGCAGAATTACTGTATCTATTCCCACATGAGTCAACTCAGCATCAAATCCAGGAAATGCCTCAGGGCTGACCCCAAAACAAATGAAAATCCTGGGAGGTTGGTAAGAGGTTTTACTTGCTTGAACCAGCAGGCCATTGCTGATCTTTGTAGGGTGACCTTTACTACATACCTCATAAAGGTCAATGACTATATTCCCCTCCAATCCTCGGCTGCTTTTCACGTTTTCCAAGGCCAGGGTGAAGTAAACCCCTCGGGTGTCTGAGATGTACAGGTTATAGGTATCATTCTGGTTCCACTCTTGAACAGCTGCAAAGACCTGATTCTCATCTGTGCTGATAATATGCATGTCCTGTTAAAAGAAGACAAAAGGCCTGTTACTGAGGATCTCTGTATTTCTTTGCCCTTTGGGACATGCAGTAATTACCATGAATTATGAAATAATGGAGATGGAGCATGAATTATAGGTATGTTTAACAACTTTATGTTAGAGCAAGCCAATAAATTACCAGCATTGTGACTTTTCTGCATTTCACTTTTTAAATAATCACCAGCTGGGCGAAGGGTTTTTGCTTTCTTCATTTTCGGTACCTTCAAGGAATTTCATCCAGTTTCATTTTTTATTTATAAATTTGAAAGTCGGTTTTATTACTCATGGAAGATTCACGGCCTTGGAGCCTGGAGTCTTCATAGTCACTAAGCATCATATGGCACCAGGCTAAAAGCAGTGATAATTTTCATTCACATGCTGAAATAATGGGCTTGTGCTTCCAACTGGCAAGGAATGGTTTCAAAAAACCCTGGAGTTCACATTTATTCGAAGGTGACATATAGGTATTCATTTGAGCTACTGCTGATAGTGATTTTTAATCACTTTCCTATTGAGAGTTTATCTGAGATCAATTATCCTACAATATATGGGCTATCAAATAAGTCACCCACTAACCTTCGTTGGATTTCTGCTGCTGACCAAGATACAAAAAGTCAAGCAAGGGTTTCCCCATTTAGTTTTAATATCAAAGAGATTTGACAGTGCATTTTCTCAGTTTAAAGGTTCATGGAAATTACTTTCAGGGCGGTGATGAGTACTGAAGCACTTCATCCTTGCTACCATTGTTGAATGCACTGACACAGGTTCAGCTAGAAGCAAAATGACTGTGGTTATATGAGACCCCATTTTCTATTTGTATCTATTTAAACTTTCTCTAGAGTACCAAGAGGCCTTGATTAATTTCTTTCCCAGTTTCTGCATCAAGAAATCATAATTCTGGACGTCTCCCAAAGGGTGGAGTGACCTGACTTCAGGAAAGAGTATCTGGAGGAAGATCAGCTCAATATCCTCATCCTGCCTAGGAGGCATCTTAATCTTTTGTGTGAGGTATCTAGATGAAAAGTTGGGATTGAGTAAATGGGGCCATTTCTAATAGACCTAACATATCCTATTGGCATGAGATGGGGAGAAAAACCATTTGAGGGCTTAATTCTATCCCAGTGAGTACAATCAGTGAGAGATTTGCTATTTCCCTCAATGAATGACGACTAAATCAGGAAGTTTGTTCTTGCCCAGTAATTCCTTAAAGATTAAGGAGGCACCCAACTTATTCCAACAGTGTGAAAATAAAGCAAAATGCCCAATGACTTCAATCTGTTTTTGCCAGTTGCAGTGAAAATATTGCACTACCCTGGTGCCAACCTCACATACGTACAACTTCAGCAGAGTTCATTAATCTGTACATGACAGGTAGTTATTACTGTACAGCAAAAATATTCTAGTGACTAAGGGCAGCATAAACAAGCCTCTTTTACATAGCTCAAAGACTTTTCCATGATACCTAGCCTTAAAGTACTTCTGATTTTTAAATTACAAAAGTACCCCTGATTTTATAGCATGCACCAATTCTAAATCAGGGCCACCAACAAATCTGTGTTATAACAGGTCATTTTCCAAGTCCTGGTGGCAACAATATTTTTGATACAAGGATACCATTTACCTTCTTAGCCAGCTCAGGAACTGCTGGCTCGTGTTCAGCTGCTGTCAACCAACACCCCCAGGTCCTTTTCCACTGAGCCACTTTCCAGCCCCTCTGTCCCCAGCCTGCAGCACTGTGTGGGGTTGTTGTGATCCAAGTGAAGGACCTGGCACTTCACCTTATGGAACCTCACATATTTGGCTTCCCAAGATATTACATGTCTGTGTTCACAAATGGTGGACTCACCTTAGGAAGGGAGTATTTGGGTAATTTAATCTGTGCAAAAGGCTCCCGTCTGTATGACACATAGTAAGTTGCTCTTCCACCAGTTGTCACCTATGGAAACACCAAAGAAAGTGAGTGATGGCCCTTCTGAGACACTCTGTGATGACACCTCTAAAAGTGCTTGACAAACTTTCTTTCAGGTATTTTTTTAGAGGTGTAATGACACCTCTAAAAATGCTTGACAAACTTTCTTTCAGGTATTTTTTCTATGACAGGCATAGCTGTCCCTAAAGGCATCTGGAAAACTCCAAAGAAATCATAAACTTGAGAGATATGGAGAATTATTTATTTAAGCTGTGCTATTGAACTCTCCATTTTGTCTCTTATGATTCAAATCCAATGTGATTTTAACATCTCAGGAAAAAAAGTGCTGAGTGGGAGGAAAAGGAGGATCTAGTTTCATCACATGGTCCAGCTCAATTACCTTGGGCAAGTAATTTAAAGTTTCTGTGCTTCTGTTCTTCCCCTGTAAGTAGGAGATAATCCCTCTTTTCTCTGCTGCTTCTCAGCCTTGTCTGCACTCTAAGTCCCTTGAGGCCAGGATTGTCTTCCAACAACCTTTTACAGTGACTAACAGCAGAGATCCACACTAGCACCATTTAATGTTAACTGTAAATGTGCTCTTGGAAAGCTGGAGCTAAGCTCTCAGATGCCCTTTGTCACTATGAAACTGGTTTCTCTGAAATTACACTCTCTGAAAATGGATATGCGTGGGGGTAACTGATAGACATCCAAATCTGCAGTTTTATGGACTGAATGAACTAAAGTCTATGCAAAAATGCCATGCATCAATGAGATCTAGCACAGATAATTTGTAAAAGATGGGATCTAAAACCTGTCAGGAGTCACTTACTCTTGCTGTACGTGTTCTTTCTGGCACCATCTCAGACCTGGCTAAAACAAGGCTTACATCAGTGAATTTCCTACATTCTGCTGGTTTGGCAGTCTTGCAAGTCTTAAGATAAAACAACGTACAAAGCACTTGTCTATTGTGTGGAATATCACTTGTTGGCTTGTTAAGTTTCCAATAAAGCTAAGAGAAAGGTCCTAGATTCTCTCCTAGATATGATTCCTTTATCTGACAGTGATATTTGAGAATGAGCTTACACAGAATATTGCTATAGCATCAATTGTATTCTCATCAATGATATCACCTCTAGATAGTGTCTTTCTTCCCTGGATAAGCTGTCATTTGAAGGACATGCAATTATTGGGCATGAAATTTGGTATCTAATCAACTCAAGGCATTTCCATTGACAGTTTGAAAACCTGGAAAGAAAGGAAGGTTTAGAAGTAGGACCAGCTTCTACACTAAGACTTCTCCTTCAGATTTCTTCCCATTTTTGCTTGTAATGTCATCATAAGTGTATTTAGCACCCTCAAGAGAAAAAACAATTCAGATTGAGAACAGTCCAACAATCTTCTAGTTAATCCAGTGCCAAAAATATAAAGGGGTGATCAAATTCCACTTTGTGCCACAACAGGACCTACTGCAAGTCTGCCACACTCAAAAGGTTTTATACTGCTTTTTTGGCTTTACCCCACTGAAAACTGATACCTAGAGGGGGTTTGTTTGTATTTATTGTTTGTTTGTCTGGTTTTTAAATGCAGAAAGTTAGGATTAAAACACTGTTAAAGTTCAATATGCAATAGTTAAACTCTCTTTCAGGCTTCCACCTGGACTAGGTCACCTTGACATAGGTTTAGAAATAGAAATCTTTGAGGTTTGTGGCTTCCTGAGCCAGTTAATATGAAGCCACCCACAATTCTGTTGGCAGGAGTTGTGTAAGCTTTTCCCAGCCAGGATCTCATCTTTACATGATTTACATGCAGAGTTATAACAGTTCCAAAAAAATGATCAAGCCTCCAATAAAGTTTTGGCAAGCACCGTGGTACAGAATGAATTTTGGAAGGCCCAACTTAATTTATTTTGATGAACTTTTCCTTTTCCTATGAGCAAATGCTCCAACACTGTAAATCCTAGAGATTATGGCAGCGTTTTGCCCTCCAATGCCTCCTTTCAGTTCACATTTGATGAATGTCACCCAATTATTTGCTGTGAGCTCATCTGTCATGCTCAGTACAGAATTAGCTGGGTTTGTCTTCTTCTTCCTCCATTGCTAATGACTGGATCATTAATCTTTTTTTCTGGATTTCTACTTTATGTGTTTAATTGGGCTTCTGGCCAGTAGAAATGATTCCTGTGGACAAATGTGTTTGTCATTAAACACATCTGTCTTTCCTAATCTGTGTTCTTTCTTCCTCCCTCCACTCATGAGCTACTACTTTTCTTTAATATTTCCACATTCAAAAAGAAAGTCTCATCTAACTTAGATCAGCTGGCACTTAAGAGAAAGATGAGAAATTTCTCTTTGAAAGCCCAGAAAGTCTGGATATGTTGGCTCATTCCCCCTCCTGACCTGTAATGAGACAGAGTGCATCAAACATTGAAGTAAACAAATATGTTCACAAGACTGCAGAAAATTACATAAAATTTGTCATGGAATCTATTTATCTCCATAATTTCTGTGACATGTCTAGGAACACACAAAGCTATTTCTCATGTTAATGTCTGAATATGATTATTTAAGAGCAAGCTTTGTGGCTTTGCTTGCTTTTTTTTTTTTCTTTTTTTACATTGAAGTTCATCTTAGGTAAAAACACCTGTGTTATCTGAAAGAGTGTGGAAGGCAAGCAGAATGACTTAAGAGGTCCAAGACTGTAAAGAAGCCCTAGATGATCTGAGAAACTGAGGAACTGTAGTATCAGGCTTCTTTATCATCTTCCCAGCTGGCTGATGCTGGGACTCATAATTTCCAATGTAAGGCAAATATTGATGGAACAAACATGAAATTACTTAATCTCAGAAATGCCCCTGGGCTAAGGAGGACCCCATCTGCCCCCTGCTGCTCAAAGAACTTGCAGGAAAGTGAGCAAAAAGCTCACAAAACCAAATTTTACACTTCTTATTGATAGTAAGCTCTTAATAGTATATAGTTGATGCTATTTTCAATAAAGACCTCACTTGTTTTCTGAGGTGATTCCTCTGCTTATAGAGTTCCCTCCTTTCCGGTAACATCAAAGGAGCTGGTAGGAGTCAGAAGTTCAGAAACACTCCATTAGTGTTGTAGCAGCATCCTGGATCTGTGTTCTCCAGCTCCATGGGGAGCCCTGGCACCCCTCCTCATTGCTTTAACTTTAGGCTCCCTTTCTCCTTATTGTGAGCATAAAATACCTCAAATCAAATTGTGGATTAAAGCACAGAAGAGTCATGACAGGCAGGCTGCTCCACTGTCACCCTTACCAAGGGATTTTGGGGTTCTTCAGAGACAGCCCTGCCTAGGACTTGCACAGGTTTGTAGTATGAACGTTGAAAAGTTGTGCCTCCTCTCCCAAGCCTAACCAAAATTCCAGTCACAAGAGGCTCAGAAGACGAGGAAGAACATGAATCTTGTGTGATGTTCCTCCTTCTTGATTACCCACCAAGACCAGGGAAAGCAATCTTCCAGATATTTCTGTGTAGTGAGGTTCTCCCAGCATAAATCTCATCATGACAGGTACCATCCAGTCTTAATTTTCTCCCTGTGGTTTTCCTTAATATTATGCCTTCCTCAGAGTCATTGAACAGTATGCAATTACCTGAGTGCACTGTGGAGTTTCTGTGCATGAAGCGCCCTCAAACTGCCTGGCAAATTCAGCAGGCTTGGAAAACATGACACTCTTTAGAGCATCACACCCATCAGAGAAAGTTTTCTATGACAAAGAAGCATTTATTATACTGGCCCAGTCCCTGTTCTGCTCCCTCTCCCCTCAGAGCAAAGATGACACAGCTAAAGGACAGAGTAATTTTGAGTGAAAGTATTGCATTTGTTTTAAAAGCAACTCTTGCAGAAAATGTGCAGCTAAAACACAAGCCACATCAGAGCTGCAGGTGCATATCACCCACACAGAAATCAACTTATGAGAAGAGCATAATTGTACACATTAAATCTCCTTTAGATTTCAGAGGAAACATATGAGTTTGCCAAGGCAATACTTTACATCCTCAGCTGATCAATCAGACAACATGAGGGGAGGGGAGGGAGTGATAAAAGAAAGTACAGCACAAAAAGCCCTAGAAAGAAAATCAATAAAAAATAAATAAATAAAGGAAAATGTTAATAATTTTTTTATCGAGAGATGTTTAGGCTCAAGTTCCAAATGTGATATTTGGCACAGAAAAGACGAAACTGTGCTAGAAATGGATGAAAAGCACCCAGCAGTGAATAGGAAAGTAGCTAACTACTTACTGCCTGTCTTGCTTGAAGAAGAGCTTTTAACTAGCACGTGGGATGCACTTTCTTTCATCTCTATGGATTAATTTCCCCCACTGGAGTGCTGTCCAGCATTTTAAATAGGAGCAAGAGGAGATCAGCTCTAGCAGGCATTATTCACCAGTAAAACAGGTGTAATCGTGTTCATCATTTAAACGTCTTCATCCTATTAGTTTCATAATAAGCTTTTAATGATTCCTTCAATAAAAGACTCAAAGACCAGCCCCTACAAGCTGGAGAGTGCTCCATTGTCCCGCCAAACCGTTTTCTCTACCATCGATCGCAAAGATAAAAATCAATCCTAGCTAAGCAGGGTGAAGTTAAAAATAAATTGCACGGATTGATTTCTGTTAAGACCTTTGGCTCCTAGTTAATGGAGGAAAAAAATGGAGGAAAGAAATTTATATTTGAACACGGTGTATTTAGTTTCTATGAAAATAAAGAGAAGGCTCTATACTGTGAAATGAACATTTAATTTCTCCCTTCTATCCTGTTTCACTGCTGAGAAGTCTCACATTAATAAAAAAAAGGAGTTTTTAAATTGGTAACTTGATAACTGAGGTCAGGAATCCCTATGAATTAGCATAAACTCAGCTGTGGCTGCTGGCTGAAGTGTATTCACCTGATAAATTACTTCAATTCAGCAATTTAGCCTATTCTTAAATATTCAAACTTGAAACATATACTCATATCCTACTAAACATAAGCACTTTCAAGTGTTCCTAAACAAGTATGCTT